GCACACACACACACACACAAACCTGCATACACACACACACACACGCACACACACACACACACAAACCTGCACACACTTTACATTCAACCTGATGTAATCAAGAATTATTTTTTGTTGTTTTTTTTGGCTGAAAGCCAAAACTCATACTTCAGCTGTTGCTATGGAAACCACCAGAATAAATCAGAAACATGGCTGCCGTTCTGTCTTAGGTCAGGTGTTAGTGACACATAGAACGTGTCTGAAGTTCATTATGTGACCTTTTTCGTGTGTTGCGTGTACGTGTGTGTGTGTCAGGAGTCCTTCCAGGTGTGTGTGACGGCTGTTGGTTCAGTCCTCCAGCTGGTGGATCGTGTCCTGACCTCTGAACTCAGGAACGGATTCGCTGTCATCAGGTAAACGCAGCAGCACCTGTTCCTGTCACCTGATCCAGGAGACACACCTGACCTCCTCCCTCTTCTTCTGCTGCTGCGGTCAGACCTCCAGGTCATCACGCTCAGGCCGACCAACCCAACGGCTTCTGTGTGTTCAACAACATGGCGGTTGCGGCTCGCTACGCTCAGAAACGCCACGCTGTCAACAGGTGAGGGATGGACAGCTGCAGCTGCGCCTCCTGCTGGTCGATCCCAGAACTTCAGCAGCAACAGATTACAGTCCAGAACAAAACCCGAACAGACTCAGAACCTTTCTGTGGATGAAACGGATGCATATGCTCTTATTCTGAAAGGGTTTTGCATGTGTTCCTGTGTTGTCAGGGTTCTGATCGTGGACTGGGACGTCCATCATGGTCAGGGCATCCAGTACCTGTTCCAGGAGGATTCCAGGTAAACAACATGGCTCTGATCCAGGAAATCACCCCCCCTTTAAGTCTGTCACTGAACCGTTAACAAGCTGTGATGCGTTAACGAGCTCCTGCAGCTGATTGGCAGGCAAGAGAGCCAGTTAAAACAATGGAGGACAGAAAGGTGAGATCAGCTTCAGTTCATCACTTGTACCTGAGAGCTGTGGGGGCGGGGCCATCAGGAAGTAAACACATACAGGGGAACATTTCAAAATAAAATTCAAAACTCTGAAAGGAGGGAAATTCTGTGTGTGTGTGTGTGTGTGCGTGTGTGTGTGTGTGTGTGTGTGTGTGTGTGTGTGTGTGTGTGTGTGTGTGTGTGTGTGTGTGTGTGTGTGAGACCTCCATGTGGTGTCATATGATGCCACAGTCAAAACTATGTGTTACAAAAAATTCACACAANGTGTGTGTGTGTAAGTGTGCTGTACTTCAGCGTCCACAGATATGAAGGCGGGGCTTTCTGGCCTCACCTGCAGGAGTCAGACTGCAGCTTTGTGGGCAGCGGACGAGCTGAAGGGAGGACTATCAACCTGCCGTGGAACAAGGTGAGTCCGCTCCAGAACCGGAGCTGCTGACCCTGGATCAGTCCTCCTGAGGGAGCGCTTGTTTTACCTTCCTGCACTGCTGGTTCTGATTCTCCTTCTTGCTTGTGTCAGACGGGGATGAGCGACGCTGATTACATCACTGCCTTCCAGCAGGTGCTGCTGCCAGTGGCCTGTGAGGTAACACACGCACACACACACACACACACACACAGGGTGTGTTAGCCTGCAGTAACCGGTGTGTATATTTGCAGTTCCAGCCTCAGCTGGTTCTGGTCTCAGCTGGATTTGATGCTGCAGCCGGAGATCCGAAGGTAAAACTGACCTGAGATCAGTCTCTCCGTCCTGTGGATCACATGACTCACCGTGTGTGTGTGTCCAGGGGGAGATGTGTGTGCACCCTCAGTGTTTCCACATCCTGACCCACATGTTGATGAGTTTGGCTGAAGGTCGACTCGTTCTCGCTCTCGAGGTAAATTTTCCACACGTCAGACTCTTCACACTGAAAACACGTGAAACTCGCTAACTGCAAGTTAAGTCAGGTGCCGTTTCTGTTCAGGGAGGTTATGACCTTCAGGCGACAGCAGAGGGCGTCGCAGCCTGCGTCACAGCTCTGCTGGGCGGAGCCTGTCCTCCTCTGAACCTGCCCACTGCTCCCTCTGACAGGTAGCTTGGCTTTCTGATTGGAGGCTGAGATGGGGGGTTGTTTCAATCTCAGCAGTTGGTTGGTGCTGGACTATAGCATTAGACTCTGATAATAAGTTTGTGTTAGCATTGTTCTATAGCGTTAGCCTCTGCTAAGTACTGTGTTGATACATTAGTTTAGCTTTAGCTTACGCTAACCCTAAGGTAGGTTCAGGCATAGACATGAACATGTAGACGCCTCATAAAGCGCGCCGGCCCGTTGCTGCGATACGTCACAGCGGCCGCCATATTGAATGTGGCATCTCTGCCAGTAAGCTAATACAGGTAAAAGGACCGAACTTCAGAAATTCACGTTCTACAAAGCATTTTAAATTAATACCTGTCATTGACATATTTTCTCTCACACATTAATATTTTTGGCAAAGAAATGACTAAAGAGAGTTTCTAACTTTTGATGTGATCATTTAATTGTTTTGGGGCATTTCTGAATAAAGAGCACAATGTTTTATTTGATAGAAATGATTCTGATCATTTTTATATTGACATTGATGAACAGACACTTTTACAGTGTTTAATTAAAGAACATATTTACATAATTCCGTAATTTAATGTACATTTAACATTTCAAGATATAAAGAAAACATTTAATTTCCTTTTTTTAAATATATATTTTATTGTAAAGACAAGAAATTTTGATAAATCAGTCATTATCAAATATTAGCTACATATTTTTCTTACTTTTTTCCAGAAAAAAATTACAGTATAAATCAACTCTGCTATTGATAGCAAAGACAAAGAGTGAAAAAAATCTTAACAGTGTAAATTATTTTATTTCATTACATGAGCTGTCTTAATACACTGAGAAATATCAGTCTTAGACTGAGATATTTCTCTTAAAATACACAAAAAGTGAAAGAATAAAAGTATGCAATAAAACAGATTTATTTATTTATTATACTGGGAACACTGGTCAAAGGCAGGGCTTCAGTCTGCTGGTCACACTGGGAGAACTCAATGACTTCTGAGACGTCCTGGTTCACAGGCTAAAGCCAAGGATAAAAGA